CCGGTTGTTGTTGGTCTCCCCGCGCTCACCCCCCCAACCCGGCGGGGGGGGGCATGGCCCCCGTATAATTTTTTTATTACGGTAATTGGTTTTTTTTTTTAACCCCCCCCCCCCCCCCCCCCCCTCCCCCTTCACTCTATGACCTCATCTCCCCCAACCAGCGCTAACGCAACCCGCAACAGGTAGGCAAAGGACCCGAGGGCCAACGCCTGACCAAGGTCGACCGCAGCGACGACATCATCAAGCCGAACACGGTAGGCAAGGAGGTCGGCGACGTTATCAGCCAGACGCGCCAGAAGATAGAGCCCAAGATGACCCAGAAGGACCTAGCCACCAAGTGCAACACGACGCCCTCCGTCATCGCCGACTTCGAGCGCGGCACCGCCATCCCCGACCAGAAGATCCTGTCCTCTATGGAGCGCGTCCTCAACGTCAAGCTCCGCGGCTCCGGCATCGGCGAGCCCAAGTTCAAGCCCAAGGGCGGGAAATGAGCGATCGGCATATAATAGATAGGCCAGAGAACACAGGCCGATGATAATGAATCGAATTGAACTGATGATCGCGAGGGGGACACCCATCTGACGGGATGGTTGTGTCCGGAGTGGCGGCGGCTGTATGATGAGCTAGTTACCTTAGACCAGGCGAGGGGGTTTACGAGATGACGAGATGCATCTCCCCCTTTAGCCGTACAATTGCATAGCATTGCGTGGCTCGGCTTATAGTGCAAAGGTTCGATCGGTCGACCTCGTGCATTGATTTAGTAGACGCAAGAATAGACATGTAAAGTCGCTATCACATATTTCATTGAAACCCCCCAAAAATATTTCATCTTAAGATTTTGATGTATTTATCGGACTCGTGATTGAGTCTCGTGCTATTTATTATGCTTCGGACAACTTAGTATTGCCCATTCGTCAATTTAGACGAGGTATCTCCAAGCAAAAGAAAGAACGCAGGCCAAACTGCGGCCTGGCTATGCAACGCGATGCTATGCAATGCAATGATAAAACATGGTCAAACGACATATCGCTTGCCTATAAAGCCCACCCCCATCCAGGACACAGTATGTATTTATCCCCTTTCCACCGCCTGCCCTTCAGACCTTTCTCTCGTCGTCATGATTTCCCCCACTTCACGCCCGCTCCAGTAATCCTCGAATCCGTCCCTCCACGTCCACCTTGCTAGGCTGTCTATCCGTCTCCAAGACTACGTTTTCCCGTCCTCCAATGACCACAACACGGATCCATTCCGGGGCTACCTCGTTTGCCAGTAGACGTACACATGCGGCACCATCTTCGCGCGAAACACCCATCCGCAACGAATCCTTGAGCTTCTCCAGCGTCACTGCCATTGTGAACGACACACGGCTGCCCTGGCCAGCTGCGCGGCTTAGCATACCCAGCATACCAGCAACTTCAGGTGCACGTTGCAGCGCCGCACGACGTTGCAGCTGCGCAGGTGAGAGGTTGCCGGCAAGGAGCGAGGACTTCTGGAGGGACTTTAGACGGATGCGATCTAGTAGGTTCATCTTAGGGGCTTCCGCGTTCGACATTTGCACGTCGCTAGACTGTTGCAGCTTGGCCTTGGCTTCCTTCTCCTGCTTCTTGATGGCAATGCCGTGTTTTAGCTCCTCGAGTCGCTTCTGGCCTTTGGATAACACGGGTGCGGCCTTGGCTACGGATTCGCAGAGTGCGATGGCAGCCCTGGGGAGCGCAGCACAGAAAGCTGAAACATCGGAACATTTAGCTGCTGTGAAACGAGTCCAGAGAGTAGATATATTCTCGCGGAATATATCGTTTAGTTTGTTCTCCTCTAGCGGACGGCTGGAACCATGTTGTGCCGAGTCAATCTCAATGCAAATCTTGCTTCGACCGTAGTCCGAGAGGGAAAATAATGGTTTGCCATCCCCCATTTCGAAGTTCAGGATTCCGAGACAGGTTTGTATATCCGCTTCAGTGACTTTCCTTCTACCCCATGCACGCGAGACATCGGGACATAAAATACGCAAATCTGCAGGAACATTGGATCCATTGTGCGCGTAGTGTAATGTCAAGGCCTTTAGTAGTGAAGAGTGCAGATCAATAAGATCTAGGACCTCATAGGGAAGCCCAGTTCTTGATATGACAGATTCGCTCTCGTCAATATCAGGTTCGGTAATGGGCGTGTAAACTGAAAACGGAGTGGAACTGCGTGATGGTGATGACTCAAGGCGGAGTCTCTTGAGTAACACACCAGTATAGATGGTTGACTCGTCTGAATCGGAGATGCTAGGGCTCCTTGCGCGTTTTTTCAGTACAGGTTTAGGGAGTATAGGCTCAAGGGGCGTAGGCTCGGGTTGTGTAGGTTTAGGGTAAGCCTTTTTCGAGGGACGACCACGGCCACGTTTCGTAGGTTGCGATATAGTCGTAGGTTGTGTAGGTTTAGTCTTTTGTATCTTGATGGCAGGAGCTGAGGATTCGTCCTCAATACTTGCGACCACTTTTCTCTTTCGGGAAGCGGGCGTGAGCGCCTCGATGTTGACATCTTTCTTTGGCGTAGAAACGGGAACGAGCTCATTCTTAATATCAACGCTATTTACCGACTTTGAAACACGGGCGAAGGTGCTAATGCTCGATGGTGCATTCTGCTTGGGGGTAGCGACCTTGGGCTTTGTAGATGTCTTCCGGCGTTGCTGTCTGACAGCAGGACCGGCCATGGTAAAATATATAATTGTTTACTTTCTTTTCGGAAGGTGTAATTGTAGATAGACGATGGACAATTAGTTCCTTCTACGGCTTCAGAAAGTTAAAAACAGTATAGAACGCGGCAAGGTTGAGTTTACAATTACAATGACGAAAAGTTTGAAGAGAGGAAAGCATTATGCAGTTGTCAATTGCAGGCAAGGATAGATATTATGAGACAGGAGACCCTAACACGCCAAATCGCGACCCACATGCAATCAAAAGACGCGAAAAATCTACTTATGTACCTAGTAAGACGCGTCGCGCAAAACACCTGCGGACCGCGTTAATAGGTGGGGCTGAGTTAGCCTGATTAGGAAAAGTGGTTATGACGCCAAGACTTCCATTGAAGAGAACACACAACACCACACCCCAATCCTCAAAATTTCATAGCCGAGGGAAAATTAAATTCACAGTGCTTTATTTACTTCTTGTTCATTTGCTTGTTTGTGTGGGGGGGGGGTAAATCTTTCTTTTTTCTTTTTTTCTTTTTTTTTTTTTTTGGAAAAATGTTTGTGCATATTGTTCTCCAAGCACACAATTACCACCACTATTGTTAACCTTTCGGGGTCAAAAATTCGGTAGTCCGTATTGATCACGCTCGGGGTTGCCTAACCTAGTCATATTATTCTTTCGTTATATTAGCAACATCTCGAATTAGCTATGGAAACTAGACTTCCGACTACTTGGATTGTTTTCCCTAGCTACAATCTCATTAACTCCTGACTCACAGCCGGAGGCCATTACTTGAAATTGTACCAAAGTGATATCAATTATCGTACCGACTTGGTACTCTCCCTTATTAGGGGAAGGTCAAACCGAACCAAGATTGGAAGTGGTGATATGGTGCCAGCGAACGAAAGTGTTGAATCGACCCCGGACTAAGATGTCGAGGCCGTCTCAACTACGGAGCGAAGCCATGAATCCAGCCATCCCTTTTCCTTCCCCTTCGAAAGCACACGCCATGCCCTGACTTTTGTGTAGACCGATTATCTTGCGTCCCTTATGCCCTTACTATTTCACATCCGTAAACTCCCAAATCGCAAACCAGGAACCCCGCTACCCATACAGACGCATAAAGACAATACATGGCGATGGCGGACATCTTTCACGTATGTGGTGCGGCAACAACCGCGTTCAAGTTGTCAATCAATGACGTAGAGTGCGCTGCCAGTGATCTGGGTGGAAGCTGACTGGACTAGGCGGCGGGGGTGCCGGCACATCCCAGTCTCGTTCTTGGATAGAGCGGATAGGGGTAACTCGCTTACTCTCCGCAGAAGAAAGAGTAGCATTTAGGCTGGCGAACAAGTCTGTGGAAGAGTTGAGACGGATATTCTTACGCGGTGGTGTAACCGGGATGGGTGCGGCGATCTGGCCAGGCATCTTGAGAGATTATTCTAAGGCAGTAGTAAGTATCTCTGCCAAGTTACGAGGGTCGCTATAGCTATATGATGACTCACGTTCTAATGTTTAGACTTGGAAGGGAAGACGACAAGGTTCCAAATCTTCTACTCCAAGAGCAAATAGGGTATGTTTTTGGAGTAGGTAAGTGGCGAGCTCGTTGTATGTTGAGAATTTTTGATAGGGGCGGTGGGAAGTGTGGCAGAGCGGCGTCAAATAGAAAAGTTGTTGGGAGGTAAAGTTTAGCGGAGATAGATGCAAGTTGAAAGTAACCGAGTTGGGAGGTGGGACAAGTTGAATAGATATAGAAGTAGAGAAGGCGCGAAGACAAGAGGTTTATGATTAAAAAGTACCTAACCAAGCAATGGGGAGGCTAATAGGAGGCAACGGAAAGAGCGGTGGATATGCGTGTGTAAGTCACACTCACACACACCAATAATAGGTACTTGTTCCTGATTGCGTCCTGATTGCGTCCTGATTGCGGCGGTCACCCCACGCGAGAAATAGGAGGTAGGAGATAGGAGGAGGTAGGAGTCTTAGCAAAGCTGATGCCGAGGGGGATGAATGGACGGCTGATAACAACAACGTTAACACTGTTGGTGAAATACCGCCCAAGACGTCAGATCCCGAAGCTAAATTGACGGCCGGTGGATGTGAACTCCTCGGTTAGGCAAGTGGACGAGGTCGGCAGGTTGAAGAATGAGGAGCGGAAAGTCTGGGCAGACGGGGAAGATGCGTATGGAGATAGTATAGGATAGATAGTATGGACAGATTGGATGTCGCACTCGGCGTATAATGTAATTCAACGTTGACGTGGAATATATTGGATATATTGGATGTGGGAGAAGGGCTACGTTATGAGGGTTGAAACCATTTAAAAGGGTCGCAAGTAGTTGCAGATAGTTGCAGGTAAGTCGCAGGTATTTATTAAGCCACAGACAACTTTGAACCTGAGACGAGACGAAAGGAGAAGCGCACATTAATGATTTATTTCCCCGGCAATCCTAATGGGCATGACAATCCAATAAATTAAGACCTGGGGAAAAAAGAAGGGAACTCAGAAGGTACATAACGCACATACACTAATACATGTACATATGTACACGTCCACAACCAAGTTGTGGTCATATCCTAACCCCAGATTTAATCATTCCGGGGACCCGTCACCCAAGCACCGTTCGACGTTCGTTGGTACATTGCATTGAGATGTCTTGGGACAAGACGACACTATGCACGAAGGGACTTACCTATTTGAGTAGTGTACGTACCGGGTACGACACAAAAGTATGGGGAATAGAGACAGGGGTATCCAGATCCCCGAGCAAGCATGTAGAAAGTTGTAGAGGTACCTAAACCCACAAAAGCAGCATCATATGTTTTCGGCGCCTCTCATGTAGGTGGGCATTTATTACCGTTACTATTTTGCAGCTGTTGTAGCTGTTGTAGCTGCCATGTACATACCGGAATACATAACGGAATGAGTTGGCACGCCATCGATCCAAGCTAGGAAAGCTAGGCAACCTCGGTAGGAATGATGAGATGGGTAGCATCGTCGTGGCATCGTAGCCTAAGCCTTACGTTTCCTAAGAATTCTTAAAGCCTACGGGTAAGATCGTATATAATTTTGCACTTGTACTCTCTGCCTTACGTGGCAACGAGTCATAGTAAGACTCCTATTCCGGTATTTCTGATTAATGTAAGCCTTTCCTCAGGACTAGGTATCGTAAGAGTAAAATCCATACACGTAGCGCATCGAAGCGAGCCCAGGTCGACGGTTGGCTGACGCTTGGCTACCAAATGCAGCTATGTAATCCATCAGGATCGATTCGGGGCGAGATTTCACGGAGTCTATCTAATAAAAGGTTGAGGACCTTGCGGATGACGGATCTAGGGGGCGTTACGTGCTAACACCTCTTTGGGCGCTACACACCGAAGCTTCGGAATATGGCATCTCCAGGCAACCTAGGATATAATTTTAATAAGCCGTTCAGAGCTGAAACGAAAAGAAGGAATAAGAATAAGTGCCGCCAGTTATCCGTCTGTACACCTGTACATAAGAAGTAACAATTAATTCATCCCCCGATTTCCCAGCTTTTATTCTGTCTCCTTCGAGTACTTCAACAGAGGCCCCGTAATAGGCAAATAACCCGCAGCCGCTTCAAGTCACGTTTCCGGACACACTCGAAGTGTCGTGTGCTTCGGTGTCCTGTTTAGAAGACGTCAAGAATACACGGTGTCGAGACAAGTATCAAACAAATCCAAGTAAGCATGAAATCGGAGGCCGATGTGGAATTTGCCAGGCGAATAAACACTTATAAGAATGAGTAATATTGGATATGTCCTCGTCTCCGTCGGTGTGTTTTGTGCAAGCATGTGGTTAGACAAACAAAATCACAAATTCCAGCTTAGGAGCTTAGGAGCTTAGGGACTTTGAAAAGATTTCCTTCGTAGCCATACATAGTTACAGGTTACCTGTGTAACAACTAGTTATGTGTACGACGTAGATTTGTACGAAATGATACCTGACCTGACTAACCAATCCGACACCCAAATAGACCGAAGTTTGGGGGCTACTGGGAAATTTGCTTCGCGCCTCACATTGATGAAAGGCTCGTAAGGAAAGGCTCGTAAGAATTTATTTGGGGAACGGATGTCTAAAGATTGGAAATGATTGGATCATTCCGTCTTCCCCGGGCTGCTCGGGCTTAATTCAAGTAAATATAGGTGGAGTCCATGTGGGGTAGAAGAATTCAGGCGGTGGAATGGAAGCTTCAAAAGAAGGGGCTGCCATAAGCCAAGCAGCTTGCGACGCTTTTCAATCTTTTAATTTCTTTCCTTCTCCTTCCTTTCTAAATTTTTTGGGGGGGGGGGGGGGAGAGGGGGCCATGTACCTACATAACCTAAGCCATGTGGGAGACAAGGGCCTATCAATGGTAGGGATGGGTCTAGTATAAATGGGCCTCTAAAGTGGATATCCCCCAGCTTTGTCCCGCGCTGATCGAAACCCAAGCACGACTGCGCAACTATGTAGTGTATACAACTGCCATTTTCCACTCCACTCACCCCCTTTCTGCCTCCCGCCGTCCCGTCCGCCCTATTGATGGATTCTCTTCTCAGTCAAGTCTTGTCCCTCTCCGTCCCCCCTTAAGTCCAGTTAACGTTACCTACCTAACCCAGCCTGGGCGTCGATCATTGATCAACATTCTCGCATTCCTCCCCACGGATAACCTACTTTAGGATATTGAAGTAGCCATAGCCATATCAATTTACACTCTCTGCTGTAGCATTGAGCAAGATTAATCAAATTTTGTTACGAGATTAAAAGAAAGAAGCCTCCCAAACCGCCACTAAGACTTGTCGGCACACGGTTGAAGAACTCGGATGGAAGCATAAGGAATCGCATCAACGAACAGTAAGCTCGGCTATTACCTTTTTCTCCAGCCCGAGCCCAACCTAAGCTAGGACCGACGATATTTCTGCGAGAAAAGAAATAAATCATCTCTCACCTAGCAAATAGGGGTCATTGCAGCGCCCAGGCGGGTCACCATTTCTAACCAAATTATCCTGTTTGTTACCGTTCAATATTTCTAATGTTGGACTAGGTATCAAACTAAACCTGAAAACCTAAAGGCTTACTAGTGTAAGTAGGTTAGGTAGTCTCTCAAATCACACAAATCACAGCGGGCCGTTGCCTAGCGCCGGCTTGCATACATACACACCGCCCACTGGTGCGGGATGCTGGCTCAGTCTCATCATTTGCTTTCAAGTTTCGAGCGCATTTTTGTCTTCGCTAAGCACACTAGAAACATACGGTTTTATTATTAGCTCGCGACCCCCGCGTCCATAATCTTTCGAATATACGCCATTGCAGTGCAATACACCATCCGCAGTCTGACAAAGCTTACAAGGCTTCCTTGACTCACAGAAGCTCCCCCCTTTCCACCACCCCCCCCTCTCTCAGATACGAACTCCATCCACGAGAATGACGGGGTAGTGCTTCATCACGCCGGACTTCAATGAGACAGTATCTCATTAGTTTTTCCGTCTAGGACCATCACGTCCATCAAGGGTTACCTATTGGAGATGACGCTTCTCAGTGGTGACAAAAGCTCAGAAGTTGCATATCTTAATTTGAATAGCACGCCACATGAGTGAGTTATCCAGTTACTGGGTAACAGCACACATCTAAGCTACGGCGCAGATTTTTGGGGGGTTATGTGTCCACGTCATTACGAACAAAATGCTACCAATTATTTCCCAGCCCGAAACCTGCATCCGTGCAAGGCTTGTCCCCGAGATGTTTGCTCTCTTCATTGGCTATTCCTGAAACGGAGTTGTGGTGAGTTATCTGAGGCTGCGAAATTGAGCCTCCTATTTGGTGGAAATCACACATTTTAGCCTGTCCTGTGGCGAAATATACAGCTAGAATCAAAATCCCACATCCTCCACCGGTGGTGTATGCTTTACACGATTTCCACCATCATCATAATCCTACTCTTGGTATGCTTAGGTGCTTACTCGACCTTGTATGCTCCAGGCTAACCAAGAAAACGGCCTGCAAAGCCACATTTCAAACCTTGTACATTAGTGCGGCTCGCTTCTAAGTCGGACTATGGGAATTACTTGGCATATGCACGTCATGATCGATGAAGTTACTAAGCAGCATACTTCATAACATCATATTATATTTTGCGAATAAAATAGTCACATATACGTTCAGCCCAGGGATCTTGATCCCTTTTATTACTTCCTCGAGATATGCGGTTCAGCTACAACCTAGACATCGGTTTCGTATACGTAAAAAAAAAAAAAAAAAAAAACAGAACCCTCTTATAGACGTGTATCTCCCTCTCCGAAAAATGTCCGTATTTGGAGAATATTCCACGCCATAAAACAGCATGGTTAGCTGGCTTAGTGTAGGCGAGCTTTCTTGGCAGACGACGGAGGCGTCCCTGACGGAGTATTATCGAGATCATATGCAAGGCCAGCATCAAACCGGACAATTGTGCATATGTGGACATACATACATGATGCTATCCGATGAAAGGAGTAGTTGCCCCTTGTCAAGCTGGTATCTGATCTTCCACATATTCACTTGTTCGCAAATTTCCTTTCCGCGAACCGAGCCGGGATATATACAGCGAGAGTTAAAACGAGACAAAGCTCGTTTCCGATGTCACCGCCAGCGTTACCGATCAGTCTTGCAGCAACGCCGGTGTACCAAGTCGTAGACATACCTATAACAGCTACGAGTAGAGTTAGTAACAGGTTGTCATCGAGTAGAGTAAGCTCATTACGTTACCTCCAATTATCCCGCATACGAAAGCAAGACCCCCGGCGTATCCAACAGGTAGCCCACTACGATTATTCCAGTTATCCAAATTATAGTTTTTGAATGAGCCGCGGCGAAATAAATAGTGCTCGGTAACCAAGCAGACGAAGACAGCGGTAGCATAGTAACCCAATAAACTGAGGAAGTTCTGTATGAATACCAGAAGCCGATCGCTACCAGCCAGACCCAAAGCAATGACTGCAGCAAAACAGATAATTTCCCAAACGAACCTCGGCACCGCAGCCAAATTGTGAGAGGTCTGCTGAATCGAAAGGCCTGCACTATACATTGATCCGCAATTCAAGCCGACGGCCGCGAACATCAGCAGGAAAAGGATCGCTTTTGCTAGTCCGTATGGGTATATCATGGTCTGAATCAAGAACCCGACGCCAACCTCGTATTGATCGTTCCATTCCTGATTATTGTGTAGGGCAGACGCAGCAATGGCCCCAGCTGTAGCACTCAGACAACTAGAAACGACTTATATCGGTTAGCAATTATGAGTATTAATTAGCTCAGGAGATTTAACGATTAAACTTACAAAGACCACAAAATGTTAGCAAGAAGATCGCAGTCTTTGCGATAGTCGCCGGATATTCGACATAGAAGTCTGATACATAGCCTACCATAAGAGGTATTTAGTAATTATTTATGCATATCTCTCATAGATCACACATTAACTGCGTTAGGAAAAATTCACCCACCCGCACAACATGCACTGGAGCCGTACATGACGCTGAAAAAGGTCAATGCCGCTCCGGAGTTCGAAGCTCCACGAGTAGACGGTGGAGCGCTGAGGTCCCCAAATCTACCGATTTCCGCGAGGATAATTAAGAAGATAGCCAGGAATACAAGCCAAGCAAACTTCTCAAATGTATACACCGCTTTCAAGCCAAAGAATGAGAATATCAAGCTCATTATACTGACTATGACGACGCCAAGTTGGGAACCAACCTTGCCATCTGAAAATGCGGAAAGTGCTTGTCCTCCCGTGATTGACCCGGAGGCGCACCACCCGATCTCCTGGATAACATTGAATATCGCGATGACTTTGGATGGGTACCAACCGAGGGAATATCGGCAGATGGAGACTTGACGAAGACCTGTCGGTGGTCCCATTGTTGCACACCAACTCTACTAAGCGTTAGAATTTGTCGAGCTTGTTACGGAGAAGATGCTCACTGTGATCACGCCACCCGCAACAGAGCCAAATATGATGACCAAGATGCTTTGACGGAGGTCTAAACCTAGCTCCCATCCTATGAAGCCGGTCGCGAAGGTGCCAAGGTTCATGCAACCGCCTACCCAGAAGCTCACTATAGCCTAGAATTGGATCAACATTTTGATATGTTCCTCTGCTATTCGCGTCTAAGGCCTAGACTCGGGGGCACTAACCAACTGGCCCGACCATCGAGCATAAAAGGGGTTCCTATCGCCGGGCAGTTTGCGTTCGATGCTATGTGATTCAACCCCTAGCTTGCGATCAAGTGCTTCTTCATAGCTTCGCAGTTTGGCTAGGAAGCCTGTCTTCTGTACGCATATCGGAGTCTCTTGGCTGGAAGTATCAACCTCAATTCCCACAACTTGTGGTACATTCTTCTCTTCGTCCGTGATACGAGCCATATTTTGTGTACTTTAACTGTGCTTCTAGGTTGATATGCAGAGAGAAAGGGAGCGAGATTCTCTGCGTCTTAACCCCCCTCGGATGCGGGCAACGAGAAATACAAATAGGTCGACCTCGACACACTACTCATGCGACCTTCCATCCCATTAACACGCGTCAATACTACATGTCCCAGATAAGCAGCGAGACATTACGGCGAATATTGTGGCACGAGGTGCTATAGATGATGGTATAGCTCGGGTCCCGGCCCTGTCTGGATGGCGAGCTGCAGCTCCGGAAAGACAGGTGCGCACCTCGGAGCAGGGAAAAAGCATGTATCGATATCAAGATCATCTACACCAGCACATATTTTGCTCCCCGGACATGATATGATGTCCCTTCGATCATCGCTGCGACTGCGGTCATCATTGATAAAGCATCCATCCCGCCAGTAACACGCACAGGTAAGCACAGATAGGGGGGGTTACGTTCTACAAGCTTGCCTTTCTTCGCACGAATACTGGATTCGGAGCTAACGTATGTACGTTTTGGAGCTTGATGTACGACCCCGTCTATATATTCGATCCGTCGGCGTTTAGCCGCGCAAGGATTGGAAGCGTTTCTCGTTGAGACGTTGACGGGAGCTCGACCACCCCCAAGGCGCCAATACTTGAGCTGTGCGACGCTGGATCCGACTGCTATTCGACAGGCGCGAAATAGGTTGGTCGTACAAGAGGTGAGATTCTTTTCTAGACCTGGCTTCGCTCAAGGCGGTATCTCGGCTGGCGCCGCGGACGCCGGGTTACACGGCAGTTCTACAGCGCAAAATGTTACGCGAATCAGGGTATGGTGATATTTGCACAACTGTACCTATTGTCCTCTCTATCTTAAACACTGATCTGCGGGGTACTTAGACTTACCTTATATGTGCGTAAGATTTGGTTCCAGAGATAGAGAAAGGTTGGAAACAGAGCAGAAGTATCTTTTTGCTTGGGGCCTGGGCCGATCACATTTTTAATGATGGATATCTCCTTAAATGCGGCAAGACCTTATCAACCTCCCTACTAGAAGAGATGGCAGGGTGACTAGTTGACGGTTGATAATTGGTGGATTGGATATTCAGCATTTTCTCAGCGAAGAATGCCGTAAGACGGCAGTTTGTAAGAATTGGCGTAGGAAGTGCCTGGATGCATGTGTCTGGCGTCTTGGCACTCAACGATGACTTCACCTTTCCAGAGTAAGGTGGTGTTGAAACAGACAACCCCAAGCATTACTTATATTTATAATTAATTTCCTTAGTAAAAGGAAAGAGTTATTCAAAAGGCGAGGATCCACTGAGATGTATTGCACTGAGATGTATTGCCCAAATTAATACTATAGAATTATTCTGTTAAAAATTTACTATTCCGTATCACGATAGCGATTATTAGGGTGACACAAGGACAGGACAGATCATTCAAAGGTGTTTTATTGCGTCTCTAATAAACTACAGGGTGTTTATCCTTTGGCCAATCAAAATTTAGCTACAGACCTCGACTTACTCTTAAAGGAAAGTCCCTTATTGTTTGTACCAATCACAATTTCCGACGACTCTAAGAGGTTAGCACCAGAACTCAAAAATCGAGTATTTTCAAGTATCGTACAAGTGCACTTCACCTATTTTAAACATCGTTTCCGACATAGGTATCTGGGAGCTCGATCGATAACGGTTTCAATTCTTCTCAATTCCGTAAGGACCGTTAGTATGTATGGTAGAAATATTGTTCCTCATGCCCCAAAGCCTCCCTTGCCAAGTATTATTAAGTTTTGCCCTCTTAACAACAGCGGATTACCGCAACTATCGAAATATAGGCCTGTCTGGAGGCTGTATCTGAGCTGCCATATCCGGTTAGCAACTGATATTCTTGCGTATGCCGTGCTAGATTCGGGAGAGTGTTAATATCAGTTACAGGCGAACCGAAAAGGCTTGAACTATACTGGGTAGGTAGGTACCTAAGTAAATTCTCTGGGATAAGTCACGATTGTCTCGGTTGGCCGTGCGTGGCTACGTATCAACGTTGTTTATTAACATTGAGCTTTTTGGTTATCTCAGCAACTTAGATTGGAATTTGTTGAAAGCGGGCTTACGTTATCTCAGTTCTTTAAATTTTCGAGACTTTTCAAGCAACTGCGGTCTGAGGTACGGACGTTGATTATAAGCCAGTTTTTGCCAAAGTCAAAAGACGTGATGTACACTCATCAATAATTTTATGAGTAATAGTGTCAAAACAAAGTTGGAAGTATTCTAAGGTAGGTGGTACCCAGGACTAATCATTTACATGTAGGTAGGTAATCTATCAAAGCGTTTCTCGCGTCATCGAGGCATCTGGTGGAATCGCCTCAGCATGTCGTGTTAACAAAAGTCAAACACAAAAAGCATATTTGAATTTTCCCTAGACGGCAAAATCAGTTACGAGGTAAAGTACAATATTTCTTATAAATAACCAAGCTACACTCCCCCACCTATAAATTATCCCTTGGAATCACGTCAAATATACCGGCTTTTGAGGCTTACCTGGCTTTATCGTCGCACCGGAAACCTTTATAAAGCCAAGCTTAGCTACAAACCGAGCCATACCAGCTACACGAGATTTCCCACCGAGGATCCAGTACCATTTACCCATCCTGTTATCTCAAAGGTATGTATATACCCTCATGACCACCTGTTTGATAAGCTAGTAAAAAGGAAATTTATGCCTGAATCGGGAAGATATTCCACAAAGCGGCCTACTCAAACTAGATTAAGTGGTCCGCGTCAGAATATCTGAAGCGGAGCAAATATTTACAGATGATCCGCCCTGTGACGCACCTGATATTGGCGTGTTAGCATGCATACCAGAATAAAACGGCCTTAATAGCAGTTCAAGCAAAGGAGGCAACCCCCCGGGGTTATCTCACCTATACACCAAGCCCCGGGCAGAAGTAGAAAATAGGTATAAAAAATGAATATGCGGCAGAGTGTCACGAGGTGGAACCAAATAGCATGGAAACAACTTCATTGTTCCGCGTTGAGCTCTAATCTAACTACGAGAATCTACGTCTATACATTAGGTACTGAACACGTTCTTTGTTCTACATGTCTCGTTTAGAATCTTGACATAGAGTCCTAGACCAATCGTCATATATTATAATGACTAAGAGAGTAAGTTCTAGCTAGCTATCTAATGAGTGTATAAGTAGGGTAGCATACCTGGCCCTATAGGGCTAGTTGATAGCCCTGTGTTTGTCCCTAACATGTTGAAGTTCGTTAATGTGGTAGATAGTGACTTCCCATGAACAATTGCAAGTCTTCGAATGATTGGTATTTTCTACAAGCGAAGACCCTCAAGATCTTTACTTTACCAACCAATAATCTTGACGTCGTCCTCCCATGTTTGAAACAGGGCTTTCAATTCATACCGCATCCAAAGCTCACTTCCGTTCTTCCCATAAAACCTGATTTTCCCCGATATGACTGAAAGATCAACCCCGATTTCAAAGCCTTTTTCGAGATCGAAATCAGCTGCGCCGATTGAAATGCCGAGAACGCTGAGTTCAAGGTGGACTGCAAGCGAATTTGTGTCTATCCATCCGTGGGCCTATTGGTAAATAAGTTAGTGAAATAGACAATCAGGGTAATAGGGCAGTTTATTACACTAATAGGACCAATATTGAAGTTGATGTCGATGCGACCATCACGCGGTTGTTTGAACGGAGGTGGCTCGAAAAGCTTAACTTGTTCAACTTTATATCCCTTTTCCGTTTGTGTGATGTGAACGATAGCACCTAGAAAAAAGGCATCTAGTGAGCAAAGTTGAAACAACTCGAAGAAGTGAACATACCAGATTGATATTGCGTAGAGCTAGCCATTGTTGGAACAGAACAGAACTGGTTGCAAACTATAGCGTTGTAGGCTGGCAAGATGAATATAGCTACCTGTTTGATTTTACATCGAAGGAAGTGCTTCTTCGATGCCCATATATATAGAGGTTTGAACAAGTTCTTACGGTACTGAGACTCCACTGATCTTCTATTGCATTTTCGTTCGGGGAGGTCATATGCCAGCAACCCGTCGGATCTTCAATACAGCATCAATATATAGGACAGATGCATATGCAGGCTTGGTTTTGCATATAAGCACTACTCTCATGTGCAGTAGGATATATCTTAGGTACGTAGAGGCAACATATGGACTGGGTATGTCACTAGGCTCACTTTTCATGTACTTAACCCAGCTAAAATAGGTTTGAGTTAGGGAGGAGAGAATCGCGATGTGTCCTGGTTGATATCATCGTTCAGTTCCACTGCATGTTATTATGCAATGATATTTTGCTTATCCTCCATACAATTCAATCACGAGCAACGCCACGAGCAACGCCACGTCTCTATCACCTTCTTCATCCTAATTACGCCTCATAGTACAACATATCGTCTATGGTGACAACATCCTGTTGCATATCAGTAACGATATACTGCGTGCCACTTTATGCCACAACTTCTTTCAGCTGCTATTGTGTGATTATATTTTGCTGATCTCGGATATCGTTGCTTACACTTTAATTACAAGCAACTCCACATCTCTATTACTTTCTTCATCCTAATTCTCGTTCAGCCAGCCAAGGATTTGACATGGCCCATGTAGGTATACGAATGGAGGCACCGAACAAAAAGTAGGTCTTAAACCGGCGGTTAGCATTCCGTGATATTGAATCCGCTGTTATTAGACTTGTAAGCAAAGGTGACCGTCTTGTGTTTGCCCGCAGTTCAGAATTCTCACTGGCACTATTGTCAGCTTTTGCTTTAGAAATACATCCGTGACTGAGGCTTTCCAAGTCTCCTACGTTGTATAAAAGACCAAAGATTCCGCCTCTAGCAATGAGGAAGAAGCAAGGGCCTTAAGGTCGAAGAGGGTTATTAGTTGAACTGAAACATTGCACACCATCTTTCCTCCTAAGCTCTGGAATGTACTGTTATATCTCCTATTTGATCAGTCTTGGCCCTCTTCAATGTGCATCAATTCCCCTAGGTATCTCTATTCTATAATACGTACCCTTAGCCTGGCGAGCCAAACGACCCCAGCCCTCCAAGTCTACAGTTGCCCTGCGTCTGAAGAAGTAAACCTCTGAGCTCCAACTTTTAATCTGCAGCAGTTCCGTTCATTATAATTACCCTACCAAAGCATAAACGAGCAAGTTAAGTTTCGATCGCTGTCCGTTCGAGAGGACCCTTACGGCAAGCCCTATATATTCAAACAGAGATCTATTTCTTACCAATTGTAGATGGCCAGTATCAGCTTTCCTGTTGGCTCAACGGTCGCCTACGCCGTTCCAATCCTCGAGCTCACAGGAGCTGTTCACCAGATCCAGGCTACGTTTGAGAATGGAGACCATGTTTTTACGTCGTCAGATTTCAAGCTAGGTACCGTCCGTGTCGCCGGCAGCCGGGCCTTGATCGGACGCTTGACCTTCCGGTATTCTTATGACTCAAGCAACAAAATTATCACCGTCTGCGGCACCAACTACCCTTCAGCTGATGGTATGACCATGATGACCATGCCCGAGGGCATGGACAATGAGGCATGCTTCGAACACGCTGCAGCTACCGGTTTCCTAGCTGATGAGGTCTATCGAGGTGGAAAGTGGAACTACTACTCTCCCCTGATGCCGGGCGCGCCCGAGAGGATCAAGAATATAGTCCGGGCTGCCAACGATGCGTTGATTTCTGCTTTAGGGGAGGTACCCGATCTCACCGTACGGGTCCGCGAGATCCTACCAGAGCTACCGGTGGAGGATTACCTAGCGCTATGTTTCGTTACTCGCGACGGAAGAGTCCTCGAGAAATACGATCCTACCAAGCTGTACGGACTTGACGACGAGTTACACACACCTCATTCAACATTCATGGGAAAAGAGGAATGGCCAGACAAGATTGATTTTGCCAATGTCATCGGAAGCACATCGGATCCGCGTCCCCCCAGCAAATCGTGGCTCGATCTATGGAGAACTACAATGGAACGCGATGGACCGAATTGCGCGTCATTAGGATTCCCTGAAGATGTCTCGTGCAGTGGGACGTCAGTTGGCGGTCATGTTATATGTGGACGAACCGCGCAGAAAGTAGATACAGGATCAAACGATGTCCGCATAATCCCAATCTGTCGCGGGCATAACGGCAGGAACTCGACGTATATGAGGACGATGAAAGAGAGATGGGTGGTCGTATTGAATAATTACATGCAGTAGTTAATATAATGTACGAAGGGTGGTTTCTAATAACTTCATAAATGACGCTGTACGGCTTGATTTCTAGTAGAATCTAGGCTCTATAGACAGTTTCGGGATGAACATGTCAGTTGTGATTCAAGACAAAAAATGGTCCACTTAATTCAAAAAGGGGCTGCCAAACCCAGCATCACCACCCAAGCAGTGCATTAATATGACCACACCCACACAATTAATCGGCTTTGCTATAGGAAACTGCTGCAGCTTCATATGGCTTTCCGTCTATTATAAGGACCTACATCCCACTTCCGAGGTTCAAGCCTTGGTATCACAACGCTAGAATATGTCTCGCCTGCACGTCTCAACGCACAGCTTAAACAGCCTTCTTGTATGACAGGCTTCATGTCCTTGTAAGCGAGCGAGCTAAAGAATCTCGAAGCTTCATTGATCTGCGGACCGACGACGACGACTAAGCCGTCCTCTGTAGGAACCGAGATTTCACCTGGTTCGAAGGACTCGAAGGGTTGCATGAAAGCATTTGACGCTGCTTTGAGCTCAGCCTCTAGGGACATGGTTTGGCTGCATTGACACTGAGAAACTGTATACCACGAGGCAGATATCGTATCATTCAGTCTCAATAGATTGTAGAAGATCCCATCTATGTATACTGCTGCAACGACAGTGGTTGAGTCGCTCTCGAAGTTGGGGCGATATTCAGTTATGATATCGGAATGCCGAGCTGACTTGAGACTATAATTCCGTTTATCTCGCATATGAGCAGACTCCGCGGTGCCTGCTTTAATCCAGCCTCCTTCATCAGTCGGCATACCCATTATCGGTGTATTGAAAAACGTTAGTGGCCGGAACTTCTCTATGGGCAGGTCAAAGAGTAGTGTTCGCTCAAGGATTGGTGTCAGAAGGATCCCCTGTTGAGCATTCCAGTAACCTATGATTATATCGTTTGGGCTGAATTGGGCCATTGGACGCCCAGATTCAAGACCAGCAAGTCTTATCGCGCACAGTTGAACGGCACATCCCGGCTCCAGTCCTTTGCTACTATCAGGGTTGAGGAGGTTCTCGAGTAGTGTGACACTGCCACTAATATATGAAGAAAGGCTCTGGCCTACAGGTATTCTGAAGAGCGAGTCGCTGGGTATGTGGACAAGGGACTCGATTATCTTATCCAAAGTGCAGGTTATGGCCCCAGTCAGACTCCAAAGCTTCTCATTCTTGCCTTCGGAGTATGACAGCATAGTCGCGAAAGGCGCCTCTGGATAAGGTTGCTTCTTAAGTTCGTCGTCAAGATCTCTCCAGTCGTAGTTTGGAAACACGCCATATAGTACCGTAGCGACAAAGTTCTTAAACTCGAAGGTTGTATTTAATGGCCCACACCGGTTCAAAACGATTTCAAGACCCTCTCGGTAGAGCCTAGGAGAAATCGAAGTGCGATACTCGAAAATTAGCCGAATGTGACCACTTGGTCCAACTTTGACTTGAAGGTCGACATGTTTCTCACAGAATGTGTTAACTGCCTTATAACCGTACATAAAATGTTTTTGGTCATCCTCTGTTCTTGAGAACGAACGGCCGGTGACTTCACCCATGTGTGCGGCCAGGCAGCAAGCAGTTGGGTAGAAAATATGAAACCCCGTTGACATCTTAGAGTACCGATTGTGGTTTTCGACGTATTTCCGATCCTTGTCGGTCGTGGTGGTAGTAGAGCTATAAATTACGGACAGCGCCCCGGTATCCGTTTTTACATGAACCATCTCCAGATCATCATTCTCAACAAGAATGTCGATCTGCCAGCCGTATTCAGAAAGCAGAAGAGCCAACGCTAATAACTTGACAGATCTTGTATATATCTTCTCTCCATCAGCTTGAGCAGACCACAGTTCGACGATGAACTCCACGAAGTCACTCTCCTCGGCTGACGTCCTGGGTGGTAGGAATAGAGTATGGTCTCTGATATGAGGCGCGTTCTCTCGGATCAGGCGACGAATTTTGACTTTTACATTTTCAAGCTTGTTGCACATTCCGTCACGACTGAGTACCGAATTTGCGTATTTATCAATCTTGCCCTGGAACACTCTCATGACACCCTCCATAGACTTGTCCATCTGGCCGTGGGTATAGAGCATGATAGCAGATGCGAGGATCTGGCTAAGCCATCGCTTGCCTAGATGGACTGAAAGGCACACGATGATTGTGCTTAGTTGGGTAGGGCGTTCCCCATCTTGCTTGGTGATATCTCCCATTACTATCTCTTTAATATCCCCCCATTGTGTCCTAATCCACCCCTTTTCTTGTTCGTAGATGTTATCGCCATAATAACGCTTCGCTAGGATATCGGCATTATTAGTCGCTTGGATAAGTTCTTGTAGTGGGTTGTATGAGTATCGGGTATCGAGAGGACTGCCAAATTGCTGAGCGGCTGCTACGGTCGTTGTTTGCGTGCTAATGTGATAATGGACACTCTTGCTCACGGCTATATCCAGCCCAATATTATTCTGCGTGGCGCCAGTTGTAGCAGTATTATTAGACGCCATGTAATCGAATGTCCCTTATCATAATATCGAGGGTTAGTCATTCAAATTAGGTACTTAAATGTTTTGATAAAGCAACAGTCCTTGTGAATAACAGTTGCTACATGCCTTGTTGAGGCAAGTATAACAAGTATAACAAGTATACAAAACGGACTGGGACTTCACCAGGAGACAAAAAACATCAGCCCTAATTCTAAGCTGAAATAACATACCATTGGCCGCAGTAGGAATAATTAGCGAGCTTACATATAACAAATCCAATGCAACCAACCCTACCATTGGGGTTTCACCGTCCCGTTGATACGGCCGTACCGTCGCGTCGCGTCGTGTAAGGTTATAGATTATGTATAAAATTGTTATTCTTTACATAATCGCCTCGAGACACTCCGAGATATGAGATAACGAATGCTACTTTACTGGCAATACGCCCGTCATAAGACGTCATGTTTTATAGATATAACTCAGGCCCGTATCCATCCCATCAAGTGGTGTAGTAAGCAGGTACTCATATAGTTGGATGCTTTAATAGCCTTTTTCGGTTTGCTGTCTATTCACATCCCTTTCCTCACCATCCTTCTCCACATCCCCTTCTTCACCATCCTTCTCCACTGTGCTCTCATAACCCCATGACCATTGGTGTAATATCGGTGATTCTCAGGAGAATATCCTCACAAGGTAAATTGGACCGGATAATCCCGTCTCAACCGAAAAGAATATTTGACAGGTATCTGACACCCAAGATAGTAGGCGATATGGACACTGCTCGTAGGATAAACATCGCTGAGAGTGATAGCGTCAGAGATGTCATCCAACGCCTTGAGAATGTGTACGGTCTTGGCAGCACCGCTGACTTTGATGGAATATCAAATAGCAACCGTGCAGCATCACTCGTCGAACACTGCACAGCACCGCCAGCTTTTCTACTTCCAGCCATAAAGAAACACGAAGCCCTTCTCGCAGATACTGGAGGGGCTGGAGGGGTTGAGAATAACGATGCATCAGGCAGCGCTATACAAGTCAACATGGGAGCAGGACTAAAACACTTAGTCAGAAACAATAAGGCAAATGGGGCCGGCACTTTTCAGAGTAACAAATCGCTATGCGTTATCCTCTAAGCTTCACTTAAAAATTGGCCTGCTGAGACAGCAAGGTTTTGGGTAATGGCAAACAAAGATGACTCATGATACATAAATACCTACCTATGTACCTCTTTCAAAAATATACCATCTTATTGTTAACATGCAAAGCTGGCTTCCACGAATAATATAATTGGACTATACGAGATGTGGCGGTGTTGATATATATTAATCAGCCCTGAATGTACAGTGGCACATTAGTGCACAACCAACAAAACAAAAAAAAACGGATGAAAATTTGTCCGATTGGCTGGCGTAAGCGCTATAATTATAGCATACGTACCCATTAAAGGCCTTATAACTATAGAAAATTACAATAAATAATACGTTATAATTATAAAGTTTATAAATATAAGGTTTTAATTAATTAATATTTTACCAGTTATAAATAATTATTATAAAAACTTTAATTTAATTTTTAAAAATATTATTAAATTTATTATAATTATAATAAACTTAACGTATGTAATTATTATAATTATAATGGATTTAATAAATTTAATAAATTTTATTTTAATTTTAAACATTTTTTTTAAAACGTTATAACTTTAACGTATATATCATTATAATACTTTATATTTATAATAAGTTTTAATGTATATAAACGTTATAAATATATGTTAAATTAATTAACCATGTTAAATAATTTAAAAATCTTTAATTTTATATAAAATAACGATATAATATATATTTTTACGATTTTATTTCAATTAATTAAATTATTAAAAATATAATAAATTAAATTTTATATAACGTTTATTTAATATATATTAATTGTATAATAATTAAAAAATTTATATATTTAAATTATATAAATTTTAAAAATAAAATTTTAATTAATATTATATAATATAATATATATACGTTATAATAAATTTTAAATAAATTATTATTTATTTATTATTTTATTATAAATTTTATTATATTATTATTAAGTTTTAAATTTAAATATTTTAACGATTAAAACGTATAAAGTAAAATATTTATATTATTTATTTAAAATTATTAATTTTAAAAGTGAATAAATTTTAATAATATTATATTACATAATATATAAGGCGTAATTATTTAAAAGCGATTATAACGTTGTTTTTAATTTTAATAGTTATAAGTTTAATTAATGTAATAAAAACGTTTATAATTTTCTATATTACGATTATGTTAAATTTAAATAAAAACCTTAAAGTTAAATTAATATTAATAATAAAGCTTAAGGTTTAAATTAAATCGAAAGTATTATATAATATTATATATTTTAAAATAAATTAAAAAAAATTATTACGTTTAAAGTATGTTTAATTAATAATTAATAATTATTTATTTAAACTTTATTTAAAAAGTTAATAAAGTTAAAAAAATGAGTTAATATTATATAAAAAAGCTTTAAGTGTTATAATTTAAATAATTTTATTATATGTGTTTATTTAAAAGGTATGTTATGATGGTCGTGTGACACTGACATAAAGGCACCTTACTGATGATAAGGTGCCCTTATCGTAGATAAGGGAGGAAGAGATAAGATACCCGACT